AACACGTGGACATCTAGCGCCTGCTATACTTTATGGCTGGCCTAGTATGCTTAGTTTGATCTTGCAGAGGTTTCTAAAGTTCCTAGTTTCCAGGGACAGAGTCCTGTGAGGGCGATTGTTGTATGGGATATTAATTCCTTTTCCTTTGGAATGAATTATTAGATTTATGAATTCCTCTGGAGGAATAGGAATGTCTATTATACAATCCTGTGACCTGAATCGTCACATTAATACACCTGTATAGCCACAGAATAATCTTGTAATTGGTTTAACCCGTCTTTGTACAATCCACTGCATTACAGATTTTACACTGCAGAGTCAAATATACTAGAGAGTAATACTGCATCCAATTCCATTTGAGACTGTGTGACATCAGATATTTGGACTCCTTCTCAGATGTGAGAGAGGACTTAGTGTGATGAGGAAATGGAACTCATGATTGACAGGAGGGGCCTTGAATATCTCTGAACGGGAAGGGGAGAAACGGCCCTGCTGATCTGGCGGGCTTTGTACATTGTTCTCTCTGGTCATATGCTTTTCTTCTATTTCTTCACTTTATAGACATGTCTAAACTCCCTTAAACATACTCTGTCACTGAATGTGGTCCACTGAGGCTCCCTGAATAGTTCTAGAATGATTTAACCAAGTTTTTTTTTAAACTATATTAGAGAAAATAAAAGATTAATTTGGAAGGCTGTGGCTCACTCAGGTTCCTGTGATTTGCATGTAGTAGGTTCCTGTCACTGCAAAACCCACAGCTCTCATCTTAAAGGAAAAAGAGACAGTTTATTCTGGAGCCATTTTTGTGGCTATTAGCTGGAAACACAGATTTAGGTTACCCAAATTCTATGCTCCAACATGCATGCAGTTACATGGGTTTACAGAACAAAGAATGTCATTAATCAAAGCAAGTTTAAAATACATTGGTGTGTACCCCAGAGAGGCAGGGACTATGAGATGGGGTGGGGGTAATTCTATCTGCTTAAGATACTATCTGGTGACATTCTTGGCTTTTGGATTGATGGAAGCTAATGTCCTGACAAGTCAGTGGATTCTAAAAGTTCCTTTATCTATTGTCATCAACTATTTGGTCCACTACAGAGTTATGGAAATGTTTCTGAAGGGTAAAAATAGCCCAAGGTAAGGCAATTACTCTCTGAACCTGCAAAATTCCAGTCTCTCCACAGTTCTGAAATTCCACATGGTCCATCAGTCTCTATAGAGACAGACTCCTTCCAAGAGTTTTTTCACTCACAGCCAGACAATCCTCTTATCAGTAATTTTCCTCCACAGCCCCTCCCCCATCTCCTGTGCTCTTGCATATATTGCCCTCTTCAGGCAAAAAAAGTGTTTATGCTAGAGCTTGGCTTATGACATTGAAGTCTACTCTTAGAAAACATGGGTTTCAAACCACTTTGTTCTATCTACTAGAATTCTCAGTGGGTTTCTAACCATACATAAAATAATAGATACTTCCTAGTTAATGTTTCTAATCTGTAGGGAAAATAGTAACATTCTGTGAAGTGGGAAAAACACACTGTCTTGTACAACAAAACACCTTCCTTATGATGCACAGCACCATGCTCATGTGTAATCTACTGGCCCCAGGTGTTTACATATATTTTGAATTAAGCCTTTTCTGTCGCACATCCCTGTCATCTCTGACTTTCAAGGAAGAGACAGGAAATGCTTTCAAAGAAGAATCAGGAAACCCAGCGTTCAAAGTCACCCTCTGCTGCATAGCAAATTCAAGGCGAGCCTAGGCTCCATAAGAACCATGTTTAGAAAAGATTCTTAAAAACATATTTAGTGAGTGTGGTGGTTGAAGGTGCTTTCTTTTCTCCTGTGTGTATTTTGGCATTTTTGTCAGCTATTAAATGGCTGAAGTTATATGTTCTCATGTTTGGGTCTTTGATTTTGTTCCGTTGGTCTAGTCTACATGTCTCTTTTGTCTGAAAGTTCCATCTTGTTTTCATTGCTATGTCTCTATAATAATTCTTGAGATATGGAGTAGTCTTTCTATAATTGTCCTTTTTTTCAGGATTGTTTTGCCTATGTGGGGTTCTTTCTTGATTCTGTTTTAACTGTATGATAGTGTTCATTTCCCTGAAAATTAGATGGGAATTTTGAATGTGATTGCATTGAATCTGTTAATTGATTTTGGTAAAGTGATCATTTTTCCCAATATTAATTTTACCAATACCTTAGCATTGGATGTCTTTCTATTTTCTAATGTTGTTCTCCATCACTTTCTTCATTTGTTTAAAGTTTCCCATGTAAAAGGCACTCACCTCCTTGATTTGTTACATTTCCAGACATGTTATGTTCTTTGACACTTTTGTGAATGGGTCTATGCTCATTATCTCTTACTCTGTATGTTTGCTGCTTATGTATAGAAAAACTTTTAATTGGTGCAAGCTGATTCTTTGTTCTGCCACATTGCTGAATTTGTATGTATTTCTAGAAGTTTTCTAGTAGAGCTTTTGAGATTATTTTTGTATAATATCATGTCATCCACAAATAGGCATACTTTTGCACTCTTGACTTATTGATCCAACTCATGCTTCTAGCACAATAGTGCAAAGGGATATGGATAGTGTATAGCTGTGTCTCCCTACTTACTTCAGTTGATCAATTCACATTTTCCTCATTTAGGATGATTTTGGCTGGATGTTTTTCATATATTGATTTTATTATGTTGAGATATGTGCCCTCTAGTTTTCCATTCTCTAGCACTTTTATCATGAAAGCATTTTAGAGTTTGTTCAAGACATTTTCGGTATCTGTTGGGATGATGGTGCAATTTTTTTTTTGTCTTTAGACTATTTACATGGTTTATTACATTTCTTCACTTGTGTAAGTTTGAAACATCCCTGCATTTCAGGAGTAAGCCAACTTGATCATGATAGATGACCTTTTTGATGTGTGCCTGTGTTCTCTTTGCAAGTTGTTGTTTTTTAGCATTTTGAATCTGTGTTCATTATTGTTATTATCCCCTAGTGTTCCTTGGTTTTTGTTTTGTCTTTACATGGTTTTGTTATTAAGAACGATACATGCTTCATAGAAGTCATTTGAGTGTGCTCCTTCTATTTCTTTTTTTTTTAATATTTGAAGAATGATTAGCTGTAAATCTTTAAATGTCAGTGAGAATTCTGTTGTGAATCCATCTGGGCATGGAATTATTTTTTTATCTGGAAGACTTTTTATTACAATTTCAGTCTCCCCATTTGTTTTGGGTCCACTGGGCTGTTAAGTTCTTCTTTAATTTTGTTCATTTATATATAAAAAATATGTATGAATGAAAATGAAATCACAACAAGACTACCATCTGGAACCTGTTGAAATCAATCCTATGGGCAAAGATTGTAGCTCTAATTGTCTACATGAAAATATGATGAAGAGCACCAAAAAATGATTGAATTATACAATAAAAATAGTTGGGAAAAACAAGAACAAACCTAATCCAAACCCAGTTGATGATGAGAAACAAGAAAATCAGAGAAATTATTAAAATTAAATCAAACAAAAAGACTCAAATGATCAACAAATTCACATCAGATTCATTAAGAAGATAAGTAATATTGAGTGACTCTTGTTGCAACTAACCAAAAGAAAGAAGACCACATGAACAGAATCAGACATGAATATGGAGATATTAAAACAAACACCAAAGAAATTCAGGCTATAATAAGAGAATATTTTGAAAACCTGTTCTATTCCATTGGAAAACCTAAAGGACATCATCAGCAACTACGTGGCAGCTCACAACTGTCTGTAACTCCAGGTCCGGGGGAATCTAACACCTTCACACCAGTGCACATAAAATAAACTTCAATAAATTAAAAAAAAAAGGACATCACTTAAATGTGTTTCTTGGGGACAGAAGAAAGATGGATTTTGTTTCTTGATTCATTCACCCAGCCTTTGTCTTTTGATGGCACAATGGAAGGCATTAGTTGTTCTGATATGTGATTGTTAATTGTCATTGTGTTGCTTATTTTTGATGTTGTTTGTGTTTTTCACTGGCCTTTGTGTGTTAGGAATTTTGGCTTTGTCTTAGTTAGGATTTTATTGCTGTAAAGAGAAACTATGATCACAGCAACTCTTATATAAAGGAAAACATTTAATTGGGGCATGCTTACAGCTTCAGAGGTTTAGTTCATTATTGTCATGGCGGGTAGCATACAGGCAAACATGGTACTGGAGAAGGAGCTAAGAGTTCTCCATCTTCATCCTCAGGCACCAAAAGCAACTGTGTGCCATATTGGGTGTATTTTGAGCACAGGAGACCATAAAGCCCACCCCCACAGTGACACACTTCTTCCAACAAGGCCATGTCTATGCCAACAAGGCCACATTGCCTAATAGTTCCACTCCCTAAGGGGGCTGTCTTAGTTATACTTTCTTTTTCTTCATTTTTTGTTTTCTTTCTTGTTTTTTTCAACACAGGGTTTCTCTGTGTAACAGCCCTAGCTGTCCTGGAACTAGCTCTACAGACCAGGCTGGCCTCAAACTCAGAGATCCACCTGCCTCTGCCTTCCAAGTGCTGGAATTAATGGCATGTGCCACCACCACCTGGCTAGTTATGGTTTCTATTGCTGTGAAGAGACACCATGACTGTGGCAACTCTTATAAAGAAAAAACATTTAATGGGATGGCTTACATTTTCAAAGGTTTAGTCCCTTATTATTATGGTGTGACATGGTGATGTGCAGGCGAATGTGGTGCCTGAGAAGTAGCTTGGAGCCCTACATCTTCAGGTAACAGGAAGTAGTCTGTCTCACTGGGTGTGGCTTGAGCATATATAAGACCTCAAAGCCCGCCTCCACAGTGACACACTTCAAACAACACCACACCTACCCTACAAGACCACACCTCCTAATAGTTCTACTCCCTTTGGGGGCATTTTCTTTCAAGCTACCACATTCCATGCCCTAGCACCCAAAGGCTTGTAGCCATATAAAAATGCAAAAATACATTCAGTCCAACTTCAAAAGTGCTCGTAGTCTATAACAGTCTCAAATTTATTTTAAAGTCAAAGTTCAAAGTCTCTTCTGAGATTAATGCAATCTCTTAATGTAATCCCCTATAAAAATCAAAACCAAAAGCACATCATATACTTCCAACATATAATGGCACTGTATATAAATCACCATTCTAAAAGATAGAGCAGCTAGGAAAGTGAGGAAATACTGGACCAAAGCAAGACCAAAAGCCAGCTGGGCAAATTCCAAACTCTGCATCTCCATGTCTGATGTCAAAACATTCTTCAGATCTCCATTTTCTTTTCAGCTTTATTGACTACAACATACTTCTTTCTCTTGGGCTGGTTCCACTCCCTGTTAGCAGCTCTCCTCAGCAGGTATCCCATGCCTCTGGCATCTCCGACATCTTGGGGTCTCCAAGGCAATCCAGGTGTAGCAAAAGTCTTAGAAGGTCTTATTAATAAAATCAAACCTGAGCCAGGTATTGGAGTGAAAGCTGGAAGATCAGAGAGACAGAACAAGCCACAGCTACCTCAACTTGCCAGTTCCACAGCTGGGCCTGTTTCCTCAGACTGGAAGCCTCTTGAGTCCTCATCCAGAATGAATCTCAGCTGAACTGCTACTCAAAAGCCTGAAAACTTAACCAGCCAAATGCTTCTTGTTTCTGGTCCTCATGCTTTATATATCTTTCTGCTTTCTGCCTTACTCCCTGGGATTAAAGGTTCACTTTCTGGGATTAAAGGCATGAGTCACCATGCCTGGCTGTTTCCAATGTGGCCTTGAACTCACAGAGATCCAGAGGGATTTCTGCCTCTGGAATGCTAGGATTAAAGGTGTGTGCTACCACTGACTGTGTTTAATATTGTGCCTGTCCTGTTCTCTGACCCCAGATAAGTTTATTAGCATGCACAATATTTTGGGGAACACAATACCACCACATCCAGGCTTCACCTTCACAGCATCCTGCAGCAGTAATTTTTTGTTGGGACTACCAGCTCACAACTAACAACATAGAGACTTATTATTAATTATGAAAACTTGGCCTATAGCTTAGGCTTATCATAATTAGCTCTTATAACTTAAATTAATTCATTTATGTTAATCTACCTTCTATCACGTGGCATTACCTCTCTTCCATCTCCCACCTCCTGTTTCCTCTCTGTGTCTCTTAATGTCTCTTGCATACATGGATTCATCTTCCACTTCTTCTCTCTCTGCCTAGAAGTCCCGCCTATACCTCCTGCCAAGCTATTGACTGTTCAGCTCTTTATTATACCAATCACAGCAATATATCTTCAAACAGTGTACAAACATCCCACAACATTTCCCCCTTTTTGTCTAAATAAAAGGGAAATTTTTTTAAACTCTAACACAATAAATCTATATACAATAAGAACAATTAGCAGGTAAGAATTACATTCACAATGTCCAGTCCATTAGTGTTTGAAAAATTTGGAGAAAATACTCCATTATCTATCCTGTCTTGGTGAGTCCAAAGTTTTGTACCTAATTCACTTTTTATCATAACTTGTGTTACCAACCTAGAATATCTTTTTAGACCTAAAAACATTGTCTTAGATTAAAAACTTATGCTTTGATGTTTCTCAACCTTATAAACTTTACACCTTTTATGTAAGTTTTCTTCTGAATTTGATAACAAAGAAGGCTGTATAACTATCTAGTTTTCAATCTCCATCAGAGATCTGAGAAGGATATATTACCCGATTAAACAGGAAGTGCAGAGAAAGCAACTTCCAAAGCTTTAGAAACAACAGACATCTGGCTTCCTGGGCAGTAACCCAAGGTTCCTCTGCAATGTTATGGCATCCAATTTCAGCCTACAAGCCTAGGCTATCTGATAGACTTTTTGCAAAGTAGGAATTTTTGAAGGAATGTTTCACCTTGTCTTGGCAAAGTTTGGCAACCACCTTTTTTGTGTCCTTCTTGTCCAATTTGGACAGCATACTGTCAACACTCAAGGCAAGGGCAGTTTCTTGCCCAAATGACTAGCTTTGCCCTATTGAAAGCAAACTCCACATAGAGTATGTATGGAGGATACATATGGAGGATGCCTATCCTCCCTTTTTAAATAAATTTGTGCTCTCAGGAGTAGACATGCCTCACTGTCATGAAAAGCCTTAGGTTATTAAAACATTTTAAATGGCATATTCTGTAGGTGTTTGAAGTGTTTGAAGACCATTTATTTATTGGAAATGTATCTCTGTTTGACCTTGAAAACATACCTAACATGACTATAAGTATGATTGTTATAGGTGACTAACTACTAACTTGTATATCTTTATTATCGTAAATAGCTTTCAAGGACTAGTGCTATGGAATGATCCTCTTGTACACTGTAAATTTTGTCACTAGAATTGGTTCAATATAATCCTGATTGGCCAGTAGCCAGGCAGGAAGTATAGGTGGGGCTTCCAGACTAGGAGAATTCTGGGAAGAGAAAGGGCAGAGTCAGGAGTAGCTAGCCAGATGCAGAGGAAGTAAGATGAGAATGCTACATTGAGAAATGCTACCAAGTCATGTGGCTAAACATAGATAAGAATTATGGGTTAATTTAAGCATAACAGCTAGTTAGTAATAAGCCTGAGCATTTATAATTAATATTAAGCCTACAAGTCAATAATTTGGGAAGCGGCTGCTGGGTATTTGGGAGTTGCTGGAGGGACAGAAACTTCTGCCTATAGACTAGAACTTTACATTATATTTTTGAGTGAGCTGTATGGGTACAATACCTTAAACAAGAATAGAAACATATACAGTATAACAAAAGTAACCTTAAATTGGTATCAATATACTAAAACAACAATGTAAAATATTTGAAACTAGTGGTTGTTCAAAAGTAGACTCAACAATTCACCCTTTTATCCCTTCATTTCTATATCAAATCCCCCACTTTTCCTTTCAGAAAGATATCCCAGAATCTAATCTCCTTTGTTTGTTTGTTTTTCCTGACAATGACCAGTAGCAACTTGTAACCATCCCCCTATATGATGACACACATCCATAACCCACCAATTGACCGAAGATTACCCACCCCACCTCTTGGGAATGTGGGTATTGTGTTCTCTAGGCTACTTCCTATTGTCTGGGAGCAACAGCATCTCTAGACAACACTGAGAAAATTGGGACAATGGTCACATCCTAGGAGAGCTAGCTGTATTACTTTTGTTTATTCTCTGTGAGGGGAAAGTGCAGAGCTCATCTGAAGTCTTGGTTGAAGTAGTCTGTGAGGCTAGACCATCTCAGCTAGCAGCTTTGAAATTGTTCTGGATGTAGAATTTTGAAGAAACTGCAACAGAAGCATTCTAAGAGACTGGAACACCTGGACTACTTGTCTTCATTGGTGTCTGGTTCTTTTTCTTCTGAAAACACATGATCTTTTAAAGGTTACACACACTTATCACACACACCTGTGTGTATATGTGCATAAATATGTGTGAGTGTATATTAACACAAGTATGGAATGTATGGTGTGCACAAGTCATCTAAAGGTGTTTTTTTGTTCTCTGAGCAGATAAAAGGCATCTGTTAACTTTCTAAGTCTGTTTGGATTGTATAACCAAACCTCTATCCATGCCATATGAAAGGATGGCATCTAGTAATAAGTCTCTATGACTCTGTAGCCAATAAAATTTATCATGTCTTATCCAGTCTCAGAGCTGTTCCCATGTAGAGGGAATTGGCATGTACATCACCTGTCTTGTAGTTTTTCTTGTTTTTTTTTTCTTCATGTCTGTAACCAAGGTCTTCAGGAGGTCTCCCCCAATCAAATCTGGTCTTCATTAATTTTGCCAAGAACCATTACTTGTTTCCTGTGGAAATAAAGATATAACCTCTCCTCCAGTGCAACATATTTTCTGTCTTCTATTTTGAAGCTAAGACATTCCTAAAATATATAGGTTGTCTTAACTTAGCAATTTCTGTAATCCAATGTCACTTAGCTACTGCAATTCATTTATCAGCATTTAAAAATTTCAAAATTAACAAGGCACCATATAAGGTCCAAACTCCCTGTGTTATAATATTTCCTATCCTTACATAGCTTATATTTCTTATATTACTTTAGTCTCTCTTTAAAGACTTAAAGACAAACTAGCTGGAAAACTAGTTTCTGGAAATTTAGCTGGGTGCAATCTTGCCCTGAGGTCACTACTCCATTTAGTCCATTTCTTAATCTGTTTATCTCCTTGATCACAGGGCTTAGCAGCATTCCACTGCCTGGTGCTCCTTTTCTCCTCAGCTTGCTCCTTTTCTTTCTAAATTCGTATAAGCGTGAACATTAATAAACACATGAAAGAGTCTATACTAGGCTGTTTAGAGATTTCCTCTGCCAGAGGTATTAATCTAAATCTCTTCACTTTAGCCCTAGGTGAACAAGGACAAAATGTAGCCACTTTCTTCACCAAAATATCACAAGAATGATCTCTAGGCAACATACTAAAATTCTTCTCCTCTGAATCCTCTTGAGCTAGGCCCCCACAGTTCATCTGATCACACTAAGCACAACTGTCTTCCATGTTCTTACTAATACGGCCAGTAAGCAGAACTTAAAGCATTCAACGGTTTCTCTAATCCACAGTCCCAAGGTCCATATATCTTCAAACAATAGCATGGTCAGGCTATCTCAGCAATACTCAGTCTCTGGTACCAACTTCAGTCTTAGTTAGGGTTTCTGTTGCTGTGAAGAGACACCACATCCACAGCAACTTTTATAAAGGAAAACATTTAATTGGGGTGACTTACAGTTTCAGAGGTTAGTCCATTATCATTGATGGTGCAACATGATGGTGTGAAGGCAGACATGGTGCTGGAGAAGTACCTGAGAGTCCTACATCTTGTGCAGGCAACAGGAAGTGGTCTGTCTCACTGGGTGTGGCTTCAGTGTGGATGAGACCTCAAAGTCCTTGTCGACAGTAACACATTTCCTCCAACAAGAACACACTTACTCCAACAAGGCTCCACCTCCTAATAGTGCCACTCCCTTTGAGGGCCATTTGCTCTCAAACCACTTCAGGCTTCCTATTTAATCAGGATGTGGGCCAGCCTGTAGAGCATTTTCTTAATTAGTGATTGATAGAGCATGACACAGCCTATTTTCGGAGGTGCCAACCTTGAGCTGGTGGCCCTGAGTTATAAATAAAAAAAAAGAAAGAAAGAAAGAGAGAGAGAGAGAAAGAAACAGTTGGAGCAATCCAGTAATCAGAATGCCTCCATGGCCTCTGCATCAGCTCCTGCCTCCTGGTTCCTGTCCTGTTTGAGTTCCTGTCCTCAATACCTTCAATGATGAATAGTGCTATGGAAGTGTAAACCCAATAAACCCTTTCCTGCCCAACTTGATTTTTAGTCATGGGTTTCATTGCTGAAATAAAAACCCTAACTGAGGCATATCTGTATGGTTTTTTTTTTAAGATTTATTTATTATATATACATCATTCTGTCTGCATGTCTCCTTGTAGGCCAGAAGAGGGCACCAGATCTCATTACAGGTGATTTTGAGCCACCATGTGGTTGCTGGGAATTGAACTCAGGACCTCTGGAAGAGAAGTCAGTGCTCTTAACCGCTGAGCCATCTCTCCAGCTCAGTTGTTTTGCTATATACATCTGTAAGGCATTGTTTGATCCTCTGGAACTGGAATTACAGACAGTTGTGGGCAGCCATGTGGGAATCAAACCCAGGTCCTTTGGAAGAGCAGCCAGTTCTTGTAACTGCTGAGTTATCTCTCCAGCCACAACATATTGTTTTATAGATGCACTCACTATTTTATGATTCTTAAAAGTGTAATATTCCTAGGAGTTTCTAGGCTCTTCTGCCATTCAATTTCCTTAATGATGAGTCCTATGTAACATCATCATACTACATCAGAAGTATTATAGGGTTATTACTCTATTTATATCTGAAATACTTTTATCTCTCCTCTCACTCTGGGCTTGTATCCAGAAGTACATGTCGCCTTTTGTTAGTTATACTATTACTGACAATTTTACTCAACACAGTGTGTGGTACTTATTCTTTTTACTTTATTTCAGGATAAGCTGTCATTCTGGGATGTAGTTATTTATTTCTCTGCAGAGGAGTGGGATTGCCTGGGCCCTGCTCAATGGAAATTGTACAGAGATGTGATGTTGGAGAATTACAACAACCTTGTGTTCCTGGGTGAGGATCATTTCCATGATGTCTTCAGTGTGAAACTTCCTCCCTTTGTAGAATATTTCATTTGGAGCTTGTTATTCCAACAATGAAGTTCATAGTGCTACTTTTAAGGATAATTAAGATTATTCATATACCTCAGAACTATTTCATTTCTTCCTATATTCATAACACCCCTCTACCTTTTAAATTATTCTTTATATTAGTGCTAATATTAGAAAGTAAGTAGCATGAGCAGAGTATGTACACATTAAAGAGACTGTCACACACTTTAGTTTTATTATTTTTCCTTGTAACTGAGGGACATGAAGCTCAGGATCTGCAAATTCTAAATTCTTCCTAAGCATTCCGATGTGGCTTTCATGTAACACATAAAGAGCTAATCCTCTATGATCCTTATCGTATCTTCTTATTCCTTATACATATACCCTCAGGGAGGACATGTTATTCCTCAGAAGTACACATTAACAATGTTGCTCTCTTTTCCAAAAATAGGTCTTGCTTCCTGTAAGCCATACCTGGTTACATTTCTGGAGCAAAGACAAGAGCCTTATGATGTGAAGAGACAAACAGCAGATGCTATGCGAGCAGGTATGTAGAAATGAGGGGGACAGAGGACAGAGTGGACGTTCAGAGATCCAACAGAAAGCCAGACTTTCTCTTGAGCATTAATACACAGTGTTCTGGTGGGAATAATTTTTTAAGGATCTCCTGTCAAAGGGAGCTATCTGTCAGATGTTTAGGATGATCTGAGTCTCCTAAGCTTCATTTTCCCTACAGTGAGGTTAGTTTGTTTTTACAGTGACAGCCAAACTCAGTTATTTCTAAGGAAACTTTAACATGGGTATTTATTTATTTTCTTCCTAAGATAGGCGCAAAATTTCCTGTCTTGAATCTTGAAGTGTATTATTTAATGTTATTATGGACAGTTGTCTTCTTCTGCAGCCCAACTTTGATAATTCAAAAACCAACTCTCTCATATATAATATATATATTATATATATATAATATATATATTATATATATGTGTGTGTGTATGCACATATAGTTTATTCAGGTGTTTTTGAAGTTTGACTACTTTTATACTTTGTTTTTATGTAGTTATAAAATTTCTATATTTGTTTAAGGGGCTAATTTCTAGTAGCATAATTGTGTTAAGGATTTTCTTAATTGTTGATGTTATGCCTTCCTTACATGATTGACTTTCATTAATATTCCTTTGTTTTCATGTTATATGTTGTCATGATCTTCTTCCTTCAATGGAAGATTACATGATTTCCACTAATCATGTGTTTTAAATTAGACTTTGTTAAATACAGGTATAGAAAGTTGAATGTAGCTTATTATTTATATAGGAAAATGCAAGTATATATAAATGTTTCTATTTTAAAAAATAAGCACTGGAAACATAAAGAATGTTTCTCTGCTTTCATTCATTTCTCAACTTTTACTCACCAGGGAAAAAATGCTACACATGCAAAGAATGTGGCAAAGCCTTTGATTGGAAATCAAAATTTAGTAAGCATCAAAGAATTCATTTAAGATTGAAACCCTACAAGTGTGAAGAATGTGAAAAGGCCTTCCGTGTCCCATCATTACTAAAGGAACACAAGAGAATTCATACAGGAGAGAAACCATACACATGTGAATTATGTGCCAAGGCCTTCCATGGTCCATCATTACTTAATAAACACAAGAGAATTCATACTAGGGAAAAACCCTTCAAATGTCAAGGAAGTGGAAAAGCCTTTCATTTTTCATCAGTACTTTCTGAACACAGGAAAAGTTATACTGGACAGAAACCCTACAAGTGTGAAGTATGTGACAAGGCCTTCCGTTTTCCTTCATTACTTTCTGAACACAAGAGAATTCACACAGGAGAAAAACCCTACAAGTGTGAAATATGTAACAAGGCCTTCCATGCACCATCATTACTTTCTGTACACAAGAGAATTCACACAGGAGAGAAACCCTATAAGTGTGAAGACTGTGGCAAGGCCTTCCGTGTTCCATCATTACTTTCTAAACACAAAGTAATTCATACCGGAGAAAAACCCTACAAGTGTGAAGTGTGCGGCAAGGCCTTCCGTGCTCCATCACTACTTTCAGTACACAAGAAAATTCATACAGGTGTGAAACCCTACACGTGTGAAGTATGTGGCAAGGCCTTCCATTATCCATCAATACTTTCTAAGCATAAGAGAATTCATACAGGAGAGAAACCATACAAGTGTGAAGTATGTGGAAACGCCTTCCGTTTCCCATCATTACTTTCTGTACACAAGAGAATTCATACTGGAGAAAAACCTTACAGGTGTGAAGTATGTGGCAAGGATTTCCATTGTCCATCATTGCTTTCTAAACACAAGAGAATTCATACAGGAGTGAAACCCTACAAGTGTGAAGTCTGTGGCAAGGCTTTCTGTGCCCCATCTGTGCTTTCTGTACACAACAGAATTCATACGGGAGAAAAACCCTACAAGTGTGAAGTATGTGGCAAGGCCTTCCGTTGTCCATCATTACTTTCTAAACACAATAGAATTCATACAGGAGAAAAACTCTACAAGTGTGAATTATGTGGCAAGGCCTTCCATTGTCCATCATTACTTTCTAAACACAAGAGAATTCATACAGGAGAGAAACACCACAAATGTAAAGTATGTGGCCTGGCCTTCCATTGTCCATCATCACTTTCTGAACACAAGAGAATTCATACAGGTGAGAAACCCTACAAGTGTGAAGTATGTGGCGAGGCTTTTAGGACTTCCCGGATTCTTTCTACTCACTTGATAACCCATTCTGGAGAGAAACCCTACAAGTGTGAAGAATGTGGAAAAGCCTTCTCTACAAAATCATACTTAAGTCAGCACAAATTTACTCACAATGTGGAGAACCCTTACAAATGTAAAGAATGTGGAAAAGTGCTCAACAATACTAAAAACTTTAAGGATCACCAAAGAATTCATTCTGGAGAGAAACCCTACAGGTGTAAAGAGTGTGGCAAAGACTTTAGAAGTTCTACAGCACGTTCTAAACACCGGATAATTCATACTGGAGAGAAACGTTACAAGTGTGAAGAATGTGGCAAAAGCTATTACCAGTCTTCTGGTCTTAAGCAACATCGAAAAATTCATATGTGACAGAAACTTCACAAGTCTGAAGAATGTGCCTAGATCTTTTGTACTCAATAAGAACTTTTGAAATACCTGATAATTCATACTGGACATTAATGCCACAAGTATGAAAATGTTGCTAACCCTTAAATAAGCTGTCCAATATTTCTCAACACATGGTAGTTCATACTGGAGTGAAATTGTGCAAATCATAAAATGTTCATAAAATGTTTACACTTCATCAGACCATAAAAGATATAAAAAAATCATTGAGTAGAAGCCCTCTAAGTGTGGGGAATGTGGTAAAGCCTTTGGAATCATTCAGCCCTTACCCACACAAAAGAATTAACAATAGAGGGCAGTCATACACATATGAAGAATACGGTGAATTTTATCTTTCAGTTAACATCTCTGACCTCCATAGAATTTGTCCTAGAGAGAAACAACACAACTGTGAAGAGTGTGAAATGCCTTTAAAAGCGCCTCAAACCTTAAACAAAAGAAAGTACTCATACTGAGTAACAATCATACAAATGTGAAGAGTATTAAGAAGGTTTTTATTTATCATTCATTCCTTACTGCACATCAAGAAAATCATAGATGAGTCTCTGCACTTGGATGGTCTATGGCCAGTTGTTTAGATGTTCTTCATGCCTGTACCCACATCATAGTGTTCATGTTGGTAAAGTGCACTATATGCTAAGATAGTGGCAAGGTCTTCACCTGGCTATCATATCAGAAGTGTTCTCCAAATTGTGAGAAACTTGATAAGCCCAAATAATTCAGAATAGTCTTCAATAATATTTCTAATCATTATCAACACCAAAGAACATATATTGATAAGTTTTGCAAATACTTATTTAT